CTTGAGATTTGAGCAAACAATGAGTGTCCATATGTACTTTTGTCGCGCAGTGTAACTTTAAGGCCGTGTTCGGTTTGCAGGGGCAAATCCAGCTTGTTTGAAAATAAGCTAGAGCTGTAGAACAGTCGTTTTGTAAAGTAAAATAAAGATAAAAATAAGTGATCGTGTTCCATGGAAAAAAGGCTGGATTTGAAGGCGTCTGCGACCGCCAACCACTCAAGTAGACAGAAAAAAAGACCAATCACCAGGGAAAAATGGAAGACAGCGACCACGACGACGACGATGACCTGTGGCTCCTCCAAGCGCTTGCTAAAATGCAGGAGGCGTCAACTCAAAGCAAACAACATTCAAGGAACCCACACCACGGCTATTGAGCACAGAGACCCCCCAGCCACGTTTTTTTCAGTCAATCTACACCAGTTTTCGTCAGTGAGTGTAGGAGTATTGATCTTGCTGTCCCTGCCAGCACCACTTAAGTCACATAGTCTCTTGAATACATCGCATTCGTACATCAGTCTTGAGTATGTAGTTTTGCATTGGTCTGCCAAATACAGTAATACGGTCAGTACAATAGTGTCCGACAACTGAAACCACTAACCTTTGTCAGCAGGGATTTCCTCTTTCGCTAGGCGCGTTACGATAAGCGCCCAGCCCTTTGACTTGACACCTTTGTCGCTTTTAAGGAAGCATCGCTGCGCGCTGCAAGGTAGGACTTAAGCAGCACCTTTTCATCCACACGCCTCCGGGTCGTCCTTTGTTTCTTCGTCTGCTGCTCCATCCGTTGGTTTTAGAACTACTGTCACTGTTTAAAGGGGCAAAGGAGGACGAATCAAAATTCAACCCAGAGCTGAATTTTGAAACCAGTCGCTTGGAGCTATCCTGCTGGATGTCATTTTTTGTGTTTCTTAGCGGAATAAAGCTGGTTGAGACATTCCAGCTCTTTAATAACAATAACAGCTGGATTTAGCTTAGATCAAACACGGCCTAAGTTATTTTGCCTCAACATTAGAGCTCTTTAGCCTAACCGCGAAAAACATGTGCTGAAGACCACCAGGCAGTAGTGCTGTAAGCGTAGGGAGAAAGGCGAAATGAACAAAAACAGTTGGGGCACCGGTTAGAACTAACCTTAGCTGGTGGCCAACTGGCGGCCAGCTGGCGATGAACTTTTGTTTCTCAGCAGCTGCTTTGGGTTGCCTCACTAAACGGATACTTTCTTTAAATATGAATTAACCGGTTTAAATGCCTGTATGCGAAGACGAGTAACCGTGGGCTGTAAGCACATCAGCATATTCTAGGAGCGCTAGTTATGGGGACGATTTAAGTGCTGCAAACCTCACACTCGGAACGCTGTCTGGGCCGATAGCTAGTCTCATCAAGTACGCAAACGGCGAGTGATCGATGAACATTTTTATTGAGATTACTTTAAGCTCTCTGATTCTTGGATGTAATTGTCGTGAATGAAAATCAAGTCACGGACTATCTCCGGTTGAAGTGAACATCGCTTGCTATCACAATATTACCAGCGGTGGAAAACGCCCGCTCTGATGGAACTGAAGTTGACACACATCCCAGCCATTTTCAAACAAGTCTCGAAAGAACAGGGTACATGAGCGAATTTACCTTCCACCATGCCAGTGGGT